TTCTTGAGGTTGAGTTTGTTAGATATCAGACAGCTCTGCTAAATGGCATTTTGTGCCAAACGCACCAACCCCAATGCTTCCTAGCTTCATTTGTTTGGGTCGCCCACTTTGTTCATAAAGTCTAACAGCCCCTAAGAGCTCAGGTGTAACTCTTTAATACTGAGAATACCTAAAGTATTCAACGTTATCAGAAGTTCAAAGTCAGTAGCCTGTTCCTTGGCTCAGGCAAACTGTGTTCGCAAGTAGGTTCCCGCGCTTTTGGCGCTACCCAGGGATATCGTTGTGCCGTTTTTCGAACTTTTTGATTTCCGAATTCTTGAGTAAAAGGCATAATGAATGGAATAATGAGGCAATGCGGAATTAAAAAGAAATGCCAGTATGCAAGATAGACTAAATTATACGGTTACAGTAAATTTACATATTACAGCAAAAAGACATACATAAATACACAGGAAAAAAAAGTAAGCAATATAATGAAAAACAAATGAAAAGGTGCACAAGTAGGTGTAAATGTCCACGTCAGGAATAGTATTGGGTATATAAATATTTGCAGGAATAAGATTTGCATATCTTAGGTATTTTTCTAATTAATTAGTCAGTTGTACATGTACAGAAACAAATAATTAATTGAGATGTCTTAGGACTGCAAGCGGCTTTTCTCTATATGCCCTTATATTACAGATATTGTAGAATTCTGAATCAGTGTGATTTTTTAAAAGAACCTCTCAGCCAGAGTGGCCATATAGCTTTGTATATCAGGAATATTGAATTCACGATGGATTGTCAAGTTTCTTATAAACCACGGACAATCCACCGCTTGTCTAATTAAAATATTTTGCAAAGTTTGCAGTTTGTTTATCGAAGTTTTACAAGCATATCCCCAGAAATGGCCGGCGTATGTGAGGATGGAACGTAGCATGGCTTTGTAAATGAGTAATTTATTATCGATAGAGAGAAAGCTGTTCCGAGCAATTAAGAGGGGCGATGAGTGTACGTTTACGCATTCGGAACTTGGCTATGAGCTGTGTGATGTGTGGGGTCTATGTGAGAGATTGATCAAGGGTAACGCCAAAGTATCGGGCCTTGTTTGGTCCATGGGATGGGGGTATTATACATATTGATGAAGATGCGGCAGTCGATATTTCTCTTAATGTGAATAATATTGCTTCAAGCCAGAACTCCAGAATGTGGAGGTAGATTTGTTAATGTTTGGATGACTGAGCCGTGAGATGCGTTTTGAGATATTATTGCCGTGTCATCAGCATACATTGATACGGTGGTCTGCGATGTATGTGGGATGTCGTTCGTGTAGAGATTAAAGAAAAGAGAGCCCAAAAGGGATCCCAGCCCGGATGAGCCTGGGGGTGAAGATTGTGTTGTTGACACGAACGACAAAGTGTCGATCCATAAGATAAGAGGAGATGATGTGAGTGATGTAGTCTGGGAAACCAGATTTATGATTTTGTGCATAAGCCCTTTCAGCCAGACTCGATCAAAGGCCTTAGTCACGTCCAGGAAGATGGCCCCTGTGAGAAATTTATCTTGAAGATCTTGGGAGATGTGTTCTGTTACTCGATACAGCTGGTAGACTGTAGAATGCTTTTTTATAAAGCCATGTTGTTCCGCAATAAGCACGTTGTTACTCGTTGATATTGTCGAGTATGCGTTGCTGCATTATGAACTCCGCAACTTTGCTGCTTGATGAAAGCAGGCTAGTTGGCCGATATGAGACAGGTTTAGAAGGTAGCCTGCTGGGTTTTAAAATCTGCGAAATGACAGCTGATTTTCAGAACGTTGGGTAGAGCATATCATTGATGATTCTTGTCAACTTTAAGGTCATTAAAATTTGCATATTCTTTAACATCTTGTTGCTGATGAGATCCAGTCCAGGGCTTTTCTTGATTTAAACTTTGAGATGTAATCATAGACTTCTGACGGTCTGACAGGAGGAAAGTTGTTCGTGCTTGGTTTGGAGAGGAAATCTGTAAGCGACTGTGTAACTAAGCGTACTGTTTGTGGGTGAGATATGTTGTTTGTGCAAAACTGAGTAGCATAGTGATCAGCAAGAGAGTCAGCTTTCTTAGTTTTTTGGTGTAGGCAATTCCTTGATGGTCAGTTAAGGGCGGAATGCTGGTGTAGCGTCTCAATAACTTAGTGATAGCTTTTCAGATATTTTCTTCTGCTGAAAGAGAAGATACGTAGACGGCCCTGTCGTGGTCTGTTTGTTTACGTGTAAGGACCCTGACCTGGCGACTGAGCTGGTTGAGTAAAACTCAAGCGGGAGGGTATCTTCACCTCTACCACTGTTTCTTTGTGCATTTCTGCGTTAAATCGGCTTTTTATTCTCTGAAGTGGATTTTTTACCTCAGTTTTCAGGAGCAGGTTTACTGTTGTAAAAAACGCTGGCTGAAACATAGGCAGAGATGATCGTAATTAGTCGCGTACTGAGTGGAGTGATTGTGATAGCTAAGGCTTCGAGAGCTAAAAGCCGTGGAAGTGTTGAGTGGTAGTAGGCGATAGAGCGCTTGATTAAAATTATTAAACCCTTTCCGGCGCTTTGATTTGTTCTCCTTCGGTCCTTCATCGAGTACATAGTTAGCAACTTCAAATGTATCCCCAGGGCCAAGCTTGTGTTTCTGGAGAAGAACATCAAGGCAATATTCAGTTACAAAGATTCGTAATTCATCAATTTTACGATTTAGCCCATTCGCGTTCCATGTTACTACTCGAAACTCACTGTTCATAAAAATCATTAATTAGTGGACCCGTGAATTTCTTCAAAAATGAGGTGGAGAACTTGCATTTTATCTAATAAATTATTACTGTTCCTTAATTCAGGTATTTTACTTTTATAAACACTAATAACATGGCCAAGAACTATAGCCAAATATATTTTGAACTTCTTTCATAATTTTGAATAGTTCCGAAATATCTGAACTTCCATTACCATTATTTGATCTAGGTTTATTTATTGAGTTATTGTTTACAGAATCAGTATTTGAATTGACTGGCTGATTTACTACCTGTGAAGCAACAGCTGGTTTTACAATGTTTGTGGCAACAGGTTGTGAAGCTACAGGAGCAGATCCAACATTGGGTACTTCCGTATTAACAGTTTCGGGAGTAGCAGGTTTTAGCGCCTGTGCATGACTAAGTCCAAGCTTGATAGTAGAACTCTTATTAGGTTTTCTGGCAGCAGGGAACTTAGAACATCCTCTATATGGACGGGCTGGCTGCATGGGCGTTTTCGTGGTTTTCCCCATGTGTAACGTGTATACGAGCCAGTTTCCCTTAGAAAGTCCTCCACGAAAGGCATCCCTCCCCTTAGGCAGATAGCCCTAGTGTGCTTTGCCATAATTAAAATACACCACACCAACACACCATCCTCTATATGGGGACATGTGAGGGCTTTGGCAGGTGGCATATTTAGGATTTTCTATACGTCTCTGGAGATCACAATTGCCACTACGATGGTAACCTGCACATTTGACACAACGAGGTGTCACGTGGCAATTTTCTGAAGAGTGGTGCAATTTCTGGCAATTGTGACACTGGGGCACTTGATCTTAACATATTTTTATCATAACATACAACATATTTTTCTATTTTAAAACCAAAGAACATTGAATAGGTAACATCATAAATACTATCAGTATTCTTATCTGGAATAATTTGTGCTTGGAAAAGAGGCATAGGCACTTTCGTTTTATATTTAGTTAGTTGCACAACTTTGTACACATTAAAACCAAGATCTAATTAATTTAGAATTAAGTTCCTGAATAATATCTACATTTGAGTCAGAAGGTAACCCTCTAGTTAATACTTTTATAGGCTTTTTATGTTACCTTTTAACGGCATGTTTCTCCGATAAAATTTTCCAGGACATCGCTCAATGAGTACAGCCATCTTGACCACCGTAAGAGCCTCCCTGAGGGTCTAACCTTCAGGACTGTCTCTTTTGGCAGGCTGTGTTGTGCTCTATCCTTTGAGACTGCCTTTTTGAACCTTTCCCCTTGTTTTGTTTTTCAACCCAAGCACCTTCGACAATTTTCAGTTCTCGGGCACGTTTCGTTTTTCTTTTTCTCTCTTTTTTTTTCCCGTGCTCCGAACATTTTTTTTTAAATTTTGATTTTAGAGAGGCAGTCATCCTTTTAATAGCTTCATGCCCTTTTCCAGATGTTGATTGAATAACTTGAGTAGAGATCATTTCTATATTTTATTACAGCTTTTGTGTTCTGAAAATTTTGATGTATATAAATAGTTACTCGGTTTTTTTTTAAAAATTTTTTACATAAAAAATAAAAGGTTTCAAAACCTTGCTTGTTTAAGTTCAGTATATTTAGACTTTCTTCTAGTTCAAAACTAGGCATTTATGATGTGGCAATTTTTTTGTTTTTAATTTAAAACCTGAATTTTTCTTATGCATTGTACCCTTTGCAACTATTGTTTTATTTTGTTTTTGAAATCTAAAACAACGTCGGCTGAGTTACAATATGACTAAGTTCATTTATTGAATTATAATTAAGTTTGAGACATCTCATAACTTTCAGAAATATTTATTGGATTTCCTATAGTAGAGCATAATTAGTTGTGTCGAATTCGGCCATTTCTTTGACAGCGAACGGATTCCAGGGAATAACATTCCATTCTAAATTTTTAGATTATTATCTTAAGCTTTGACGTTTTGCTTTCCACTCATTTATTTGTTTCTTTCATTTTAAAAAATAAACATAATTATTTTCTTTCGTTTTTTGTAACATTTACAGTTTTCGTTTCTGCCTTTTTTATATGCTTCTGGTGACTGGTAAATTAGAAAATGTTTAAAGTATTTTTGTAGAAATTGTGCTGTTTAATTTATTAATGCTGTAATGGCACTTAATTATGCAATTCTGGAATGACAAAATGAATTTTTTTACGTGGTTATTAAATTAAGTTTCTTTCAATTAAGTTATAGCTTTTTGTATAGATCTATGTATGGAAACTGCTTTATGATATCTTACTTTCATTCCATTTCCAACAGTGTAATTACTATATTGCTGTATGATACACAGGGCTTTCTTTTCGTAAATACTGTCTGTTTCATTGCTCCACCAATTGACTTTGTTACCATTTGTGTCATATTTTCGACCTGTAACATACTGAAAATCAGCATTGAAAAACAGCGCCGTAAAAAGTGCAAAACCATTTATAACCTCTTAAGAATGTCTTACCTCAACTAAAATGAAATAATGGTTCTCTAGTGTCTTTATTACGTCCTTAATGTAATGAAGAAGAAATTTCCTTTCTTAAATTGCCATGGTAAGCATAGTTTCTGGTTCATAAGGTCTTCATTATGTGTTTATAAAATGACATTTTACGCTAGCTAAATTTAAACCTTCATTCACATTTTTCTGTTGCCAACAATATTAGTACATATTTCTTATATATTGATGTTTCAAATTTTAGGTATTTTTTGAAGGAGATTGAATGCATGTAAAACGTTTTTTTAAAGAGGAATTAAGTTGATATATTGATCAGTTTTTATTTACTCTAAAATATTCAGTTGGATTTAGTTATTTTCAAAGGATTAAGTTTTAAGTATTCAAAGTTATAATAATTAAGGGGCTACTTCTAACTACTTAAAATTTAATTCCGATACTCAATTCAGTGTTATCTAAAAATTATGATGAGACTTACTGCTTATAGGTTAAATAAATTGTGAAGCCATAAGAAAGGCAAGCAGGTGAATTTTAACTCAACTTTATTCTACCTCACCACTTGTGAAGTTCAAATTAAAATATATTACAAAACAAAATACCAATCTCCTTAGATGAGAACTGGAGAGAAGCAAAACTAGAAGGTAAAATTCTTTTGAATAAAGTTTGAAGATTTTCTACCAAAGCTACAAGTTTGTCATCGGGTAACTAAAATCTAAATCAAAATTTATCTTACTAACTAGACTATCGTATGGTAACTCAAATTGCCTAGCGGCATTCCCTAAATAACAAGCAAGCGTGACTGCTGTTTCTCATAATCAAACATCTATTACAACTCATTCGGTCACTTTATACTAAGCCATTTGCCAATCAAATCTGCATAAATTTCTGAACGAAGCCAATACATTACAAAATGAGGAAAAAATGAAAATGAAAATTTTCAGCTTTTTAGTTAAATTCAATTAAAATATTACAAATATGAATTAAAATTTGTTTTTCTATTAAAAGCATATGAAAATGTAGGTTATAATAAAGCATCACATTTAAAAAGATAGGCCAAAGGAGAAATGCGACTGTGCATAAAAAGCGCGTGCTTGTAAGAAATGTTAGTAAACTAAGGAACATGTTAAGAAAATGTGCAAATAATACGAATAATTTCTGTCACATACTGGACATCTGAATCTCAAAAACAAATTTGACTACTCAAGTTAGGTATGCTATGAACTGTACTTTGGTTGTAAATTGGGCGATCAAGATAGAAATTGGGCTTCTCGTAATTTCCCAACGGGAACTCATATGAATCACAGGTGTCCATATAAGCTTCAGAGAGGGTTCACAAGGGGAAAAATGAATTTTGGGGTCCATAATATGAACTAAGGGATTCAGAATAAAATATTGAGAATAGTCACAATGCATGTAAAGACCGGGCTAAAAAAATGTTACTGGCTTCCCGTCACCTTATCTTGCGTAATGCGGCTTTTAATCGCATTACACGATAGTTAATAGAAACTGTAATATGGAAAAAAGAGGTGATCTTTATTTGAATCAGAAAATTTCAGGAAAATGTTGATATGCTAATATCAAATCATCAGCCACAAACATCTCATTAATAAGCCCTATTTAATGCGATCCCATTTAATAGTCTTAGGAATGAATTTGTATATGTTGTTTGAAATACTATGATTAATTTTTTCTCTAACATTTCTTTGAGTAAAAATATGTTTCAGTTTTATCAATTAAAATTTTCAAATTTGTAATTTACATTTTTTATATTTCAGTTGTTTAATCTTTTAATAAACTAAAATTAAATATTTTATTTGAACGGCTAGAAAATGCTTAACTGCTTAATTATTATCTTTTAGTACATTACAAATAAATATTTCATTTTGGGGTATTGCGTATATGGGAGGCTAGACAATTAAAGATTGAATTCAGGGAGTTGACGATCAAAAGGAGTTTGGGAACCCTTATTTAAACTAATGTAATGGTCTTTAAACTGTGTAGCGGTAGCTTAGGCATCCATATAATTTCTCCTAGAGGTTTTGCAAACCAGAAACAAAATCGAAAGAATATTTGAATACCACGTGGAAGGCAAATTTAAATGTATAAAATCTTAATTATTTAACACTGTTGTTTATAATATTTATTATTTCCTAAAGTGAGGTGAAATAAATTTATGAATACCATTTCATATCGGAGTCTATATATTTCTGATACTGACTAAATAGAAATCATAAATATACATAAACGTTTTGGGCTGATTGGTACTGCATTTTGACCATCATTTTTTTAAAAACGCGCATTGTTGTACGCAGCCAGAGATTTCACTGTAAGGTTAGAGAAAATTTGGTTTCTTTCATTCATATTTTTTTGGCGCGTTCAAGATGCATATTATTCCCCAGTCTTATTCCTTTGACCGTATAATTAAATCAACTTTATTTGAAGCCTAAGAGATTTGCAATGAGTATGCGATAAGTTTAGAGGGTTGTTTGTAAAATGATTGAAGTTACAGTTGCTCCAACCTTATGAATAAACAAGTTGTTAAAAATCTCCAAACTGTAACAGAAAACGTTAGCAATTAAAGAAAATAATAGTGAACAAAAATTATCAATAATAAATGATGAAAAGCCATTTCTTTAGTTTTCTCATCATATGAAGATTTATCTAACATACAAAAAGCAAAATAGGATGCAAACTATTTCGCATTTGGCTTTATTTGGATAGGGAACGAATATGAGTTAAGTGGATTGTGTACTAAGTGTGAAAAGTCGTTAGTAATACTAATTTAAATCAGGTGATCCTATATTTGTATGAACTTATAACAAGATTACAGTTTTGTTTGGGGTCTCCAGCCGTGAAAAAAACAGAAAAGCGCCCGACAAGTAGAGGCGCCATTTCAAGATGGTAAAATAATGCCAGGTGATTTTTTGTAGAGTCCTCGCAATTTTTAAATATGGTAACCCAGGGCATTCTTTGAGGGTTTTTTCATAGAATATTCAACTCCAGAGATGAAGGTTATAAAAATTTAGATTTAGTGCCCTCGGCGATTTCACCAGCACTGGATGATGGGATGGTATAGACAACCAAACGTCGTAGCTACTAGGCTTACCAAATTTTAAAATTCTAATAGGGTCTAAAATGTACTTATAATTAATTTATGTAAGCTATTTTCTTGGTTTTAAGACGAAATTAAAAAAAAATCAGAGAAGATTTCTGGCTCTAGTGTTATAGATACGTAGATCATTTCTTTATTCCGTGGCACAGTAAATAATGCCAAATTTTTACGCAATACACTTGTTCATAAAATAAAACTACTACGTGGATTACATGATTTAAAAAGCTAGTGATAAAGAATCAGCAGTTGCCTTGACAGCCGATTTGCTTCGATATATCAATTTATGAGCGGTTTGTCAGAGCAAGTTTGAACGTATTCCTGAAGCTGAACTGTGTCCTGCAAATGGCAAGCATGAAAATATCATCAGGGAAAACGCTCTTCAAAATAATTAATGATAAGGCACTACCTTTGCAATATTTTATTTTGTATTATTTCGGGTAATTTCAAAAGGTTGAGCGGCTAAATATTTCTTAATCAATTAGTGCATTGTAAACCTGCGGTTCCAGAAGTTAGGAGCCAAGGAATGAAGGAAGACATTTATGGTAATTTCAGTCACTTGGCAACGTGCTAAATAACATAAAATCCCTCACTTGACAACGAACTATAATTATAGGGAATTTAAATTTTTAAACAATTCCTGTAGGAAAAAAATGCAACTTTAGCTTACTGAACATTTTTAGAGTGGAAGAGATATTTACATTTCTGAAAAACTGGTTTTTATGACTATTGCTAAAATCATATGACTTGAAATATTTTCGATCGTAAAAAGCTGCCGGTTCTTAAAGGGAACATAAAAATGTAGTACATGAAATAAAATATTTTAAAATTTCACCATTTTCATAAGCATGAATTTAAAACCTCTCGTTTCATAAGTTTATGCTTCATTGACATAAAATCTCTGTTTTAAAGATTCGCGCAAAATTTTAGTCGCATAGTTGTCCGCAGGTATGATTGTGCATTTTTATGAGAATACGAAGCTTCAGATTTTGATTATGAGTACATCTTATAATTTTAGTCACATTCAGATGGATTTTCGAATGGATATTAATTTAACAAAGGAAAAAAAATTCTTTCTTTACTTTTTCCCTTCAAGACCTGTAAAAAAAAAATTATGTTTTACACTCTTATTAAAAGGTAGTATCTCGCAACCAGAATTTTCCTAGTCTGAAAGCTATTTCTTAAAATGGAGAGTTATTTAACCTCGTAATTATTTTAACACCTACATTATTGTAAAGATTACTTTTCAATTTCTCCATCATATCGCTTTTACTATATTTGATAAATGCAGTACTTTAAAATTATAATCCAATCTCATTTTTGGCACGCTTTCTGTCTTTTAGAAAACAATATATATCATATTGCTGTTTATATAACCCCGTCATATTTTAATAAAGATCGCACCTTGTCCTGCGAATCCATGAAAAAATTCATGACCAATTACGAGACCCACGGCTCCAAAATTCAGGTACCTGAAATATATGTACGAATCTAAATGTTTATAACATCTTAGAAATATTACAAATAAAATCATAAAAACACTTTAGTTAAATATAAGTTTTTGCGATATGTATATGTATACAAACTTACATTGGCCGATCTTTATTGAAATAGGGATCTTGAATCATCCCTGCAGACATGTCTGTAAAGAGAATGCTGTTCATGAAAATAACTAAGTACAAAAATTAAAATATGACTTAATTAGCTAATTACTTTGTTAGCTATTTATTAAGTTAGATAATTATTTTACTATCATATTAAATGAATTGGGAATTGAATTAAGGACTCTGAAAGCAATGATCATCTCCAATGGTTTCAAAATCAATGCTTTTTATTTCCTTGAGGGTCTAAATTGATATTTTTGAGCAAACACAGGTATCTTCAAAAGATAATTTCAATAATAGACTTTTTTAACAGATAACGTTGGTGCGTAGGGTTTATGGTACGTTTTCTATGAACAGCTGAACGTTCAAAGGGGGAAATGCGAGAGAGTACATTCATCATTTTTAATAGGGGTACCGGAAGCATATTTCACAAGTGCACATCAGCGTAGCCACTGAGGGAGGGGCTTCGAAAATGGACCAATGAGCTTCTATTGCTCTTGTGACGCTAATCTTCCTGCATGTGAGCGTATGTCATTTACGTTTGTTTCGCGGTAAAAAATGTATGGCGTAGTAGAAGAAAATTTCGTAGTGCTTTCGTTTCATGAGTTTAATTCGTCGCTGACATTTCACTTTCTCAATTTTTATCACGCATTAATATCTGGATTTGATGTTCACGGCATATTATCGCTCTTTACATCGAGAAAATGACTCAAGCTACAATTAGCCTCGAATATTATGCATTTACTTAACACCTGTGGATTAAGAAAATTCAAGTGTACAGTTTTTTTTTAAATAATTTTTCATATAAACTACAATAAAAAGTGCTGGCTTCTATTTACATATATAATAGGTGTAAATATTTTTCTCATATGCATAGTTTTACGTAAAGATAGCATTTGGGCTCATATGTTTATCACATATATCTTTCTTCATCTTATTTACCACTTATTACGTAATATTTCACATGGATATTTTTGCGGAGTATACAAAATGTGTTTCTATTTATTTTAAATTCTTTCAACCAGGTAGTGAAATCTTCACATTTGCTTATATCTGATCTAACTTCGCAATGACAATTTTCAGAAGAAATCGACGATACTTTAATTATTTTGTACAGAAAATTGCGTGGCAAAATAGTTTCACCCATTTTGCTTAAATCTTAATGCATGCGAAAGATTATGTGACATGACAGAAATATTACTGGATGCTTATTGGTCCATCCTAGAAGCCACACCCTCGGTGGCTACACAGATGTGCACTTGTGAAATATGCGTACCGGAAAGTAATGTCACTTTCTTACATTAAATTCAAACGAATACATATTTAACAAGTTTTATTTTTAATCAATAATTTAATCACCCTCGTTATCAACAACATTTTGCCATCTAATGTGCAGATTTTCAATCCCGGACTGATAAAAATCAATTGGTTTTTGAGTAAAATATCTCGAGAAGACATTTTGGACATCATCCAAATTTTTAAATTTTTTGCCACTAAGAAAATGTTGCAGGGATCCGAATAAATGGAAATCCAATGCTGCGATATCAACCGAGTATGGTGGGTGAGTATGGCAGTACCTCCCACCCCAATTCATTAATTTTTTCCAGTGTTCATCTTGCACAGTGCGGTCTTGTATTGTCGTGTTGCAGAATGACGCCTTTTCTGTTCACAATTGATATTTTTCGATTAAAGATTGGTTCACTCCATCCAATTGTTCACAATAAAGGTCTGCATTAACAGTTTTCCAGGTTTCAGCAATTCAAAATGAACAATTCCGTGAATACTCCATCAAACACCCAGAAACGCCTTTTCGGGGTGTAAACCCTTTGTAACTCCTATTAAAACTGCCTTTTGAGTTTTGGATTATCATATAGGACTTATTGTTTTTGTCTCCACTAATCAAACGATCAAAAACGGTTCTGTATGGTGCCGTTGAAGCAATACGTTGCATGTGATGGATAAGTTGGCTTTGTTCTTTTCGGACAGATTATGGGGGACTCAAACACCTGCTTTGCTTATTTTTCCATTCTGCTTTAAATGTTCTCGGATGGTCGACCAAGGTTGGTTAAGAGTGTTTGACATGGATTTGCTTCTACTTCTGCCCTTAGCATGTTTGTTGTCGACATGTGCAGAAACGACATTACTTTCCGGTCCCCCTATTATATAAGTACATTCAGCATTTATAACACCTTCCCCAAAAATACGAAATTGAAGACTTAAAAGTAATTTTTTAATACATTAATGAGTTTTTGCCATTTTATGCTAAACTCCTTGAATGACGCACTATTGATTTTGATGCCCTGACATATGAGTTATAATTTAAGATGTTTCTGTTATTTGCTTCCATTTTGGGAACTTGTAATTTTTACAAGACCATGTATTCAAAATTTTTCCATCATGCGTTTATTTCTGAACATGCCATTAACATAAAATTGGTGTTGAATATTTTCATTCACTAAAAGCAGCATTGTTCAGCAATGTAAAATAGATAATTTTGTAAATGAGTAATTTATTTTTATCTAATTTAGAAAAGCAAAATGCTAACAGTGAAAAATTTTTAAATAAATTTTAAATTTTGAAATGCCATTTACAAACTAATTAATTTCATGCAAAACTTATTTAAAAAATTATATTATTTTCGAAAACCTTGGGATAAAAAATAAGACATACATGTTTTATAAAAAAAAAAAAAAAAAAAGTGCCATTTACAAACTAAAAAAAGCAAAATGTATTTTTTTAAAGACGGACATGAAAGATTATTTTAAACCAGTTTTGTAATTGAATCGCAAAACATTGAACGCATTTCAATTAGTAGGAAAAATTTAATTAATTATTCACGAAATCTTCTTCAAAATTTAAATATCCCTTTTTCCTTCTGTAATATTAATATAATCAGATATGATTTTTGTTTAAAATAGTTGATGAAATTGTGTTTCTTGTTAAGCCATTACTTCAAAATTGCAAATCATAAGTTAATAAAATCATAACATTATAAAGCAAAATTAGAAATAAATTGAATTTACCAATGACGTTGTTTTCAGGGTAATAAATGCCAGTTACACGCAAGGATTTCCTACCGGATGTATGCCACCTGAAAGTAAAAGCTATCCATATAAATTAAAATTTCATTATTTTAACTATAGACTTTACATGCAATAAAGCTCATTTTTGTTTTAAGGATAGACTTTTCATGCAATGAAATTTATTTTTAAAATTTTGATGAAAAATACCAATTTTTCACATGAAAGATATAAATACTGTTGACCTGCAATTTCATTTCGAATTAAAAATTTTAAAAGATGTTGACTGTATGGTATTATTTTCATAAAATAATACATTATATGTGATACATATGAGTTACCCTTTTAAATCTCAGTACATGCCTTTAACTTTTAGTCTAGTGTCCTAAAGTTACAATATTGAAGCCTTATGCTAGGCGACTAGTTTTGGGTTGTCATTTAGAAAATCTGTAGAACATTTAACAGTGAATGAAAGAAAACACAAACCTAGTTAGATAGAGTAGCATCATGAACGAAAACTTCTACTAATAAAATTTTAGAGTGTTCTGAACGGAAACAGCTACTAATAAAATTTTAGAGTGTTCTGAACGAAAACAGCTACTAATAAAATTTTAGAGTGTTCTGAACGAAAACAGCTACTAATAAAAGTTTAGAGTATTCTGAACGAAAACAGCTACTAATAAAATTTTAGAGTGTTTTGAACGAAAACAGCTATTAATAAAATTTTAGAGTGTTCTCTATTAACTTAGTTAGACATCCGGTCGAAGAACAACTACTATGAACACAATGAAAGATAAACTAATAAGGACAGTTATGCAAATGTTTCATTATTTAAACTTTGAACTATCTTATTTATTGCTTCTGCGGTCCTCCTTAATCGTTCACCAGTTGGCTAGTTGCCCTGATATGCCAAGTTCAGTTTTTATGTATATACTACATCCAGTTACTGGACAGAATTTTCTGGAGATAAGAGATCACTGGAGAAAGTAAGCAGTAAGGTCTTTTTGCTAAGCCTGATAAGGCTTAGCAAAAAGACCTAAAACTAAGACTCGCTTTGAAATCGCTTAGTTTGTTAATCAAAAATTTGTTTTACAAAATTTGAAATAGATAATAAAAAAAATTTAAAAATCAAAATTTGGGCTTCCAAGTACCCATGTTCGGTTGGAGAACTACGTTATTTTAAATTCGATGGCTCTACAAGTGCGCATAGAAAGTATGCCTCAAATTCCTTACAAGATTCCCAAGATGATCCTCTGTTCCATTTCTTTGAATGGCGACATGTGGCGACATTTAGCGCATGAAAGACTATTTCAAACCAGTTTTGTTCAGATGAAAGTAAAAAAAAAATATTTGGCTGGATGAGGAAAGGCAGAAAAGTTTTATGGCGAGGATCTAAAGTATCCTCTAGACTTAAGGCAATCGGTAAATACAATTAGCATAGCAAGAAAATTTTTTATATGTGAATTGTCGCTGGAATGGCAAGTATATTAGTTTGCAAATCTTAAATTTACTTATTTAAGCATGCGAATCCAAATGAATCTGGTCCTGCTGTTACGCTTCCAATGACAAAACAACAATAACTACCTTTCTACCATTCAGGCATGAATGAGAACATTTGCGGGTTCTCATAAAGAGAAGTATTCTGTAACTATCTATTCGATGTATGCAGGATGATTGGATGGCAAAAGGTATGCTTCTTATCTGTATGTGTATACATGTGAATGGTATTCAAGCGTATGTTTCTCATCTGCATGTGTATGCGTACGTATCCAAAGTGACGTTGTTCGAGGCAGACAGTACCTGCGAACGATTAATAGTCTCCTGGGACCAATGCTGCTATGCTTATTAGCACCCGTCATTTTATCCAAGATGAAACGTTTAACTGCAAAATTTAGCCTTTTTAAAAAATAATTTTACCTCAGTCTGGTCAAAGTCACAAAAAACTGCAAAATAATAAACACTGAAATGTGATTCAAATTGATTGCTTTTCCTTTTGATCTTTGCGGAAAATATATGAAATATAATTGCCAAACCTAGTGGTGAAACACCTTTTATTAGCCTGGTAGTGGTGAAACTTTGCATTAAACTTTTTTTATTAGCCTGTTTTCGCTCTTTGCTGTGCTTATGCTGAGGAAACTTTGCATAAAATATATGAAATATAATGCCAAACCTAGTGGTGAAACACCTTTTATTAGCCTGTTTAGCTTATGCTGAGGAGGAAACTTTGCATTAAAATATATGAAATATAATTGCCAACCTAGTGGTGAAACACCTTTATTAAACCTGTTTATTAGCTGTTTGCTTAGGAAACTTGCATTAAAATATATGAAATATAATTGCCAAACCTAGTGGTGAAACACCTTTATTAGCCTGTTTAGCTTATGCTGAGGAAACTTTGCATTAAATATATGAAATATATTGCCAACTAGTGGTGAAACACCTTTTATTAGCCTGTTTCGCTTATGCTGAGGAAACTTTGCATTAAATATATGAAATATAATTGCCAAACCTAGTGGTGAAACACCTTTTATTAGCCTGTTTAGCTTATGCTGAGGAAACTTTGCATTAAAATATATGAAATATAATTGGCCAAACCTAGTGGTGAAACACCTTTTATTAGCCTGTTTAGCTTATGCTGAGGAAACTTTGCATTAAAATATATGAAAATATAATTGCCAAACCTATGGTGAAACACCTTTTATTAGCCTGTTTAGCTTATGCTGAGGAAACTTTGCATTAAAATATATGAAATTATTGCCAAACCTAGTGGTGAAACCTTTTATTAGCCTGTTTAGCTTATGCTGAGGAAACTTTGCATTAAATATATGAAATATAATTGCCAAACCTAGTGGTGAAACACCTTTTATTAGCCTGTTTAGCTTATGCTGAGGAAACTTTGCATTAAAATATATGAAATATAATTGCCAAACCTAGTGGTGAAACACCTTTATTAGCCTGTTTAGCTTATGCTGAGGAAACTTTGCATTAAAATATATGAAATATAATTGCCAAACCTAGTGGTGAAACACCTTTTATTAGCCTGTTTGCTTATGCTGAGAAACTTTGCATTAAAATATATGAAATATAATTGCCAAACCCTAGTGGTGAAACACCTTTTATTAGCCTGTTTAGCTTATGCTGAGGAAACTTTGCATTAAAATATATGAAATATAATTGCCAAACCTAGTGGTGAAACACATTTTATAGCCTGTTTAGCTTATGCTGAGGAAACTTTGCATTAAAATATATGAAATATAATTGCCAAACCTAGTGGTGAAACACCTTTTATTAGCCTGTTTTAGCTGATGCTGAGGAAACTTTGCATTAAAATATATGAAATATAATTGCCAAACCTAGTGGTGAAACACCTTTTATTAGCCTGTTTAGCTTATGCTGAGGAAACTTTGCATTAAAATATATGAAATATAATTGCCAAACCTAGTGGTGAAACACCTTTTATTAGCCTGTTTAGCTTATGCTGAGGAAACTTTGCATTAAAATATATGAAATATAATTGCCAAACCTAGTGGTGAAACACCTTTTATTAGCCTGTTTAGCTTATGCTGAGGAAACTTTGCATTAAAATATATGAAATATAATTGCCAAACCTAGTGGTGAAACACCTTTTATTAGCCTGTTTAGCTTATGCTGAGGAAACTTTGCATTAAAATATATGAAATATAATTGCCAAACCTAGTGGTGAAACACCTTTTATTAGCCTGTTTAGCTTATGCTGAGGAAACTTTGCATTAAAATATATGAAATATAATTGCCAAACCTAGTGGTGAAACACCTTTTATTAGCCTGTTTAGCTTATGCTGAGGAAACTTTGCATTAAAATATATGAAATATAATTGCCAAACCTAGTGGTGAAACCCTTTATTAGCCGTTTAGCTTATGCTGAGGAAAACTTTGCATTAAAATATGAAATATAATTGCCAAACCTAGTGGTGAAACACCTTTTATTAGCCTGTTTAGCTTATGCTGAGGAAACTTTGCATTAAAATATATGAAATATAATTGCCAAACCTGTGGTGAAACACCTTTTATTAGCCCTGTTTAGCTATGCTGAGGAAACTTTGCATTAAAATATATGAAATATAATTGCCAAAAACTGTGGTGGTGAAACACCTTTTATTAGCCTGTTTAGCTTATGCTGAGGAAACTTTGCATTAAAATATATGAAATATAATTGCCAAACCTAGTGGTGAAACACCTTTTATTAGCCTGTTTAGCTTATGCTGAGGAAACTTTGCATTAAAATATATGAATATAATTGCCAATAGTGGTGAAACACCTTTTTAGCCTGTTTAGCTTATGCTGAGGAAACTTTGCATTAAAATATATGAAATATAATTGCCAAACCTAGTGGTGAAACACCTTTTATTAGCCTGTTTAGCTTATGCTGAGGAAACTTTGCATTAAAATATATGAAATATAATTGCCAAACCTAGTGGTGAAACACCTTTTATTAGCCTGTTTAGCTTATGCTGAGGAAACTTTGCATTAAAATATATGAAATATAATTGCCAAACCTAGTGGTGAAACACCTATTATTAGCCTGTTTAGCTTATGCTGAGGAAACTTTGCATTAAAATATATGAAATATAATTGCCAAACCTAGTGGTGAAACACCTTTTATTAGCCTGTTTAGCTTATGCTGAGGAAACTTTGCATTAAAATATATGAAATATAATTGCCAAACCTAGTGGTGAAACACCTTTTATTAGCCTGTTTAGCTTATGACTGAGGAAACTTTGCATTAAAAATATATGAAATATAATTGCCAAACCTAGTGGTGAAACACTTTTATTAGCCTGTTTAGCTTATGCTGAGGAAACTTTGCATTAAAATATATGAAATATAATTGCCAAACCTAGGGTGAAAACACCTTTTATTAGCCTGTTTTAGCTTATGCTGAGGAAACTTTGCATTAAAATATATGAAATAAATTGCCAAACCTAGTGGTGAAACCCTTTTACAAAACTTTGCTTAAATATATGAAATATAATTGCCAAACCTAGTGGTGAAACACCTTTTATTAGCCTGTTTAGCTTATGCTGAGGAAACTTTGCATTAAAATTATGCGTCCAGAAGCAATATTTAATAAAATAAATCATGAAGTCATGTTTTTAAATACCTTGAATAAATACGCCAAACTTTAGCACACAATATTACGTTGAGTAGAATAATAATAAAAACTGTTTAATATTCTGCAGGATGTAATTTAGAGTGCATTTTTCTTTCTCTCATTCTCGGTCCTGTTGAAGTAAGAGATTCTGAAATTTGGCTGAATCTTCAAAACAAAATATAGCAGAGACGAAACATTCGCTAACACATTCATGCGGCAACAGAAGCTATCAGCAGCATGCTTGTTGTTAAAGCATGGCATAAGCATGAAAATTTAGCTCGAATCACACGTGTGCATTTGTACTAAAGATTAGGGTTATTGGGAAGTTAGTATTAGACTTTGAACTCCTACATTCTTTATAATACATGCTTTCTAACTCAGAATGTGTTTTGCAACTTAAAAATACTTGTATACAGACATATTTGAAATACGAGAGAACATCATTATGCAAAAGTAAAGCCGCATAATCAACATTTCCGCAGTTAAGATAGTTAAAATACTATGTGGTAAAAAGGCCAGTTAAAATTTTCAACTCTTGCTTTTGAATATTTTGAGAAACTGGAAAAGAAGATCGATGAACTGCATTTTTCACATTTCTGAACCTGAATTCTGAGAAAATAAATTTATAAATATGAGATTTATATTAAATTTCAAGTACATCACCTGCATTGTAATATAATTATAATTACAGTCATCTGCAGTATAATTATATTACAATGCAGATGATGAGCTTTCTGTAGATTTTCCAATAATCGTTGCTCCTATAAAGAAGAAACGATTATAGTTGAAAGTTGAAAGAAAGCTTTACAATCGCCACAGTTGAAATAAAGTTCTAAATTTTGCAATGCGTTGTATTTAGGTATTTAGACAGCGTTTTAAACGAACAGAATATGTTCCAGACGCACTGCAGTAGAACTTTTCCCTTTGCTACTGCACAAGAACATTGGTAAGCGTGGTAAGAATTTAATGCAATCAATGCGATATGCTGAAAGTTACAGAGTAGGTTGCAGCATAGGAATGAGAATGTCTTGCAGATATGTGGCTACGTGTTTCACATATCTCGGCCACAATGGGTAGGTACTACATGAAGCGCTACGAGAAACAAACTGCAGCTGAAATCGGCACTGACTGAAGATGCTCAATCCTTTGCAGAAAGCAAGACCTAACCTATGTTTTAAACGAGAACAATCTGTTCCAAAACTAAATAATTTCATTAAGAGCGCAGTGTATCATTGTGATTGCTGTGTTACAGTTTGAGACAGACGCACTGATAATTATCAAATTGCTCTGGCATTCATAAGTAACTCAATAAGTAACTCTAAGAATTCAATAAGTAATTCTAAGAATGCAAGTTTTTCTCCTATGTCCAGTTCCATGTGCATAACTTTCCGTGAAAATATTTGCAGACAGTGCTTGGATCTATTATTTTCAAAACGTTGTTGGTTATTATCCCGAGTTAGGTATCGAGTAATTGATTCACAATAATTGTTATATTCGTCTTAATTCATATAACACACAGAAAAGTGTTTACTGTTAAGTCTTGGGTATGTGTGTATTTTCTAACTTTTCTGACACTTTTTCTTAGGAGTGAGAGTTCGAGTTAAACTGCGATAATGAATCTATAACTATAGATGCATAATTGTATTTCTTTCTTTAAAAGAGTAAATAATGAAAAAAATTACATACCTTTTATTATAAGTAGGATCCTGATACGTAACGTAGAAGTGGTCTTGTAACCATTTGAGTATTTTCAATCTATTGCTAAAATGACTTTTGTTAAGCTTCACCTTGAAAAATAAGAAGTAATATGACTAGTAACAACCACATAGATAGTCCTTACATTTTAAATGTAAAATACTTTCGGAAATTTTGGTAATGAACATTTAAATACTCACGTTTGGATAAAGTAAAGAGATAACGGTCTCATTTATAAGCTCTTCTGGATACGCAATTTTAAACGTCACGGCATTAGCCTACGATGCAAAAGCAAATTAGCACCTTAGATGTAAAAAGCTAGAAATAAACATCAAATATCTGACTGTAATTTGCATCATATTTTATACGTAAGACAGGCAAAATATATTATTTTATATGCCCAAAACAATATTCAACAAATATTTGGAAAGATCCAGGAAAGTTCGAAAATTAGCAGATTTACAAAAGAAATGTATCACCATTTCTCTTATAAATAAAGAGTGAAATAAATAAATAAACAGAATAGAATGAAAATATAGTACTTGTTTAATTTGATCTTGAAAATGCAATATTTTAAACTTTCAATCAGCATGGTATAATGAATTATCATAGTCCACATTACATGCTATTTTAACCCTTTCACCACGGGAAAGCGTAAATGCGAGCTTTTCGCTGAGGTTGTCAGTCTCTATCGCTAGGATGTGTTCAGGGCTGGAGGGGTTTTTGCTATTAAACCTAAATCCATGAAATGACCGAAATATCCACTCGCTGTTTAATAATGTTCTAAAGCCTTCAGTTTACTTATACTTCAGTTTATTATGGCGAGAAAGCGTTTTTTATCAGACGAATTATAAATGAGCCAATTAGTGATATGAATGAGAGTGGTGATTCATTTCCTAAAGAGTTAGAAAGCGGCACTTCTAGTGGTTCTCGTATGAACATTTTGATGATAGATTTTACTTTCTATAAACAGACTTTCTTGTATTTTTACTTCCTTGTACGAAGTAAAAAGGAAGCATTGTAATCGCGAAAAGTTTCAGGCAGCATATTTCAACGAACATATACATTTTGACCGCTATCGAATGCAATTTAACGATGTTTTTGCGTGATGTCTGTAGTAAGGACAGAATAAAATACCTTCCTCCAAAAAAATTATAAAACTGCTTTAAATGATTCTGAAGAGAATTTTTCGTTTGTCCGTCGACGTACGTACGTATCTCGCATAACTCAAAAACGAGTAGCCTCAGAACGTTGAAATGTGTATATAGGACTGCTATAACATGTAGATGTGCACCTCGTATTTTGGTTGCAATCGGCCCACCAAACATATAAAATATATTTATATATATATATCCACTCTGTTACCCGGCTCAGTGATCTGGGTTTCTTTACTCTTATATGTTTGTAAATTGTACATTTTTTGCTTTAAAAATGATTGAATTATGTTGTTCTTATCTTCCGGTTAAGGTTTTTATGCTTTTAGTAAATCTGTATGCAATATTTTTAGAATTATCAACAATTTTAGAGTTGTTTAAGTGCCGCTAAGCCTAATAATTTTTTTGAATGCGGCAATTGCTTGTTTACATTTGAAACAGCAGGATATTGGATTTGTTGCCAATCTAAAGAAACTTAGCTTCGCAACAACAAAGATAACGCCTTCATTTATTATTGCGAATTAAATCATGCTTAATCTTCTCTGGAATTTTTTCGAGAAAATAAGTGTTTAAGATTTACTTCGTAATTTTTAATACATATATTTATAGATTTTATGTATTTTTGCCTTGTCGCGAAGTGACAACTGAATTAATTTAATCAGAAATACTAAATCGTCTGTAAAAAACTGTTTCTTTTACTTCCTTGTACGAAGTATAAAGGAAGTATTGTAATCGCTAAAAGTTTCAGGCAGCATATTTCAACGAAAATATCCCATTTTGACCTCTTTCAAATGCAATTTAACGATGTATTTCCGTGATATCTGTATTAAGGACAGAATAAAACACTCTTTTCCTACAACAAATTATAAAAAACTGCTTTTAAAATGATTCTGAAGAGAATTTTTGTGGCGTCTGTACGAAACGTATGTACGTACGTACGTACGTATCTCGCATAACTCAAAAGGAGTAGCCCTCAGACGTTGAAATTTTGTATATAGGACTGCTATAACATTATGTGCACCTCGTATTTTGGTTGCAATCGGCCGCACTAAACGTTATATAAATATTTATATATATATATCCATCTGTTACCCCCCCGCTCAGTGATCTCAATTTCTTTACTCTTATATGTTTGTAAAATTGTACTTTTTTTGCTTTAAAAATGATTGAATTATGTTGTTCTTATCTTCCGGTTAAGGTTTTCATGCATTTAATAAATCTGTATGCAATATTTTAGAATTATCAACACTTTAAAATTGTTTAAGTGCCGCTAAGCGTAATCATGTTTTTGAATGCGGCCATTGCTCTTGTTTACGTTTGAAACCGCAGGGTAGCGGATTTGTTGCCAATCTAGAGAACTTAGCTTCGCACACAAAGATAACGCCTTCATTTATTATTAAATCATGCTTAATCCTTTTCTCTTGAATTTTTTCGAGGAAATAAGCGTTTAAGATTTACTTCGTAATTTTTAAATACAGATATTTTGAGTTTTTATGTATTTTTGCCTTGTCGCGAAGTGAAAACTGAATTAATTGAATGAGAAATACTCAATCGTCTGTGAAAAACTGTTCTTTTTGTTTTGTTTGCTTACTTTTTATACATAGTTCTAGCTTTTATAGTATTTGAATAGATATCTGGCAACGATTAGATAATTCTTTAAATGATATAAATTTTGTGCATTCTGAGTTATAATATGAACGAAATATAATACTGTTAACTGAACCTAGCGCCAGAGTGTCGCTATGGTAAACAAAGAGTGAATTTTGAAGAATACATTTATTCTATTGTGGTTTATGCGCTGTTGGCGAAGTAGATTTAATTCAATCCAATACGTTTAAATGAAATGCAAGAAAAAATGCATATAATTTAATATTCCGTACAAGGAAGTCATGTGATGTACACATCAGATTTTTTTATTAAGTTAAAAGTTTATTAATGTATTTTATTAGTTAAAATTTTGGAATAATTTGAGTAGCTCTTCTGCAAATTATTTCTCAAAGTGAGCAAATTTTTTATATATATATATTTTCATGCAAAGTAAAGGAAAAAGACATTTAAACGCTAATTTTAACTTACATGACAGCTTAAAGAGCCGTTATAAAGCATGCCATTTGGAAATATTCCTTTCCTCTTATGTTTATATAATCGTAAACCACGTGTGTATGAGACATGGTACTCTCATTTTGAGTAGAAGGTCAAATCTAAGTGTATCTAAAACCATATGTACATACAATGCCATTTTGGTGCCAAACGTTATAGTTTTTAAAACGTTCCAAGGCTCTGGCACAAATGTCTTACGGGCGGGGGTGAGCGAGAAAACGCTTTGGCACGCCAGCGTCTCAGCTGGGAAATGAGTGCTGACACGTTTCCAATTTTTCATAAGAAGTATCAGTACGCTTGAAGTGTGATATTTCGAATCAAAGAAACAATCTCGTCGCAAAATAAGCGACGTAATAATCAAATTTCGTCTTGAGATCCATAATAGGCTTTAGTATAGCTAAAGCAAAATTGGACTCGCACATAGCAAACCACAGTGTATGATCTACAGAACTGTCGATCAGTATCTTTACCGCTACTATTTCCTCCAAGGGGTAGTAGTTGAAGAGAAGAAAACGGAAGTCTTGAAACAACCAAGCTTTTAACGAGCAACTAACTTGAAGCTTCATGCGTGCAGAAGGGTCACTATTGTAAGAGTTTTATATATGGCTCGGTGTTGGTCCTTACACGTTATGATTCCTTGTTGCTAACACAATCAACTTTATTAACATAACTCTTTTATTAAAACACAGAGCTACTACGCGATACTCGAAATTTATAACAAAACAGATGGCATGACAATGTGTTGACAGGTGGTGGTAAAGACAATGTGTTGTCAGGTGGTGGCGAGCGCAGCTATCGCGAAACAACATGACGTCAGCTGTCGATGCGCGCAGCTGAACTTATGAAAATCCACAAAATCCTACAAAATGGGCAAATTTATGAAGTTTACGAATACAGAATGATTGTTCCAACAATTTTCCTGCTATTGAAAGCTGGGTATAGAAAGTGCTTTGGCATTTGTATATTTTGCACAGAAACGTAAGATTTAGTATCATCAAAAGTTTGTAAGCCGTAACAAATTCTTTCGCCATAATAAATTAAGCATTTGTAAACAACATTCTGAAAATAATAAAGTATTACGAAACCTTATCTATGGCATTCTTCTTAGTTCTTTCGTCCAACCAAGCACTGCTTTCAAGTATATTTAAGACTTCTCCACGAATATATTCAGCTATCTCTGTCACCTGAAAGGTATTAAAGAAACATATGTAAGTCTTAAATGTAGAAAGCAAAGAACTTTATGTACGTAGAGATGGGGACCTTTCGCACTGAGTACAAAGTTACAGACAAAAAATAAAAGAGAAAATACCTTAAAACTCGCAAATAGGTAAAAATACGGAAAGTATGCAATTACGCAAGTCATCAAATGGAAAAAACGTAGGGAAAGATATATATAGAGAGATCTGCTTTCCTAAATTTTCTAGTTGTCGCTTTAATCAAAAGCTGGTCAGTAAGGAAAGTGGGCCGAAGCTATTAACGCTTTATCTAAGCAATGCTAACACATGAAAAATTGGAAATCGACATGGATGGGAATTCAAGCTAACGACTTTTGACCACCCTAAGCCCCAATACAGATAAGGTTCTTAACATAAACCTACGTAACACATTGCAATGCTTCCGAACCATTTCAAAATCATTTATCAAGTTCTTTAATAAATTAGAAATGCTGTTAAAATATAAAAACCCTGCCGGTAGCATTTCATGTAGATGTAGGCAAAACATCCTGCCAAATCGCAAATGTTGTGATACGGTGCTGTTTGCTTCAACTTAATGCATTAACCACTGAGAATGTTTGAGCCTCTGATGAACTGGAAAGGAGAAAATTTCCTTCAAGAACAGCCTAAAACTGTACTTTAAATCAGGAAAACAAAAAAATTTGAATTTCTTTTCGAATTTCCTTCTTGGACTCAAAGCTTGGCTTGGTGTCGAACATTCATAAACAGTGCCAGAAGTGTGACCAAATAAATTCTGATTTTATAAATGCACACGACTGTTGAAAAGGCTACGCTTACATTGCGAAACTGTCTTAATAGAATGAATTAAGAAGATATTAATGAAAAATAAGATTTAGTGATAAATTAAATCAATTGGAGTGTACTAAAAACTTAAATTCGAAGTATAGAACTCTACCTTTGAATCCTTTTCTTGATGAAAGAAGTGTTCTAAGAATAAGTAGAAATGTTCATCTCCTCAAAGATAAAAAAAGTACAATCATTCTGCCAAAAACCACCACGTTGAAGATCTAATCATAAATTATTTGAGTGATTTTAATTTGCATAGTAGAGTTTCTTTCAAAATTTCCTCGTTACAGCCAGCGGCCGAGCGGTAAAGTCGCTTAACACTCGTAGTTCGGTCCGAGGTTCGAATCCCGCGAACGGCTGGCTGCATGGGCGTTTTCGTGGTTTTCCCTATGTGTAACGTGTATACGAGTCAGTTTCCCTTAGAAAGTCCTCCACGAAGGCATCCCTCCCCTTAGGCAGATAGCCCTTGATGCTTTGCCGTAATTAATTAACCTAACCTAACCTAAAACATATCTCACTCATAGCTCTCCTATCTGTTGTATCTATAGGTATTTAGTTTGCAAGATTTAAGTTAAACAGAGTAATGATTGATAAAATTTACGAAAATCGTCAAATTTGCATACAATATTAGAAGGTTCGACATCACTATGACGGGTAAATTAAACCTCCTGCTGAGTTAAACTGAGGCTGAGAGTTCATGAATCCTGGCATTTGCATACTGCACTGCATATAAGTTTTAAGTAATTTCTTGGATTCCAAACTCCTTGATAATAGCTATAAGAGTAGTTAGAACTTGAGACGTTTAACCTGAAGAACGTTTGCTAGACAGTACACTTATCTGAAAAGTTCAGTATCTTATTTTTTCTTTTTAGCAGTGATCCTCTCCGAGTAGATTTTATTTGAATAATTTTGATTTTTTCAAATTTTTAGTTTCAGTATTGAATGTGGATACTGACATCTATCGTATGTTGTTAGTTCTGTTATGCGTTTTCTGCTCTAAATTTCGGCTCGTTATCAACATTGCACTTATTGCACCGTGGAGAAGGAAATTTAGAGGCCACGAAGTATGTTGGTAAGTCTGACAGCGAAAATGTTGTATAACCGACCCTCTCCGGCCTTTGTAAGATTCTACATATACCTTAAGATGCATGTGTATTCAAGGTTGAACGTACCCATGATTTGCCATTCTCTGTAAACGTGATAAAAAAGAGGAGTTTTGTGATTTCTAATTCGCATTCCTCGCGTGAGCTTAATTACTTTGAAAGCCAGAAATTCAAAAGTTCGCAGTTCGTCCTGTATGCCTCTCGGGTTAGCATATGGGAACAGAATCTTGATCATGACTTTCTGATTTCTGTCATTAGGAAGAATAAATCTATCGTACGAAATATCTTTTGAATCATTTAGGCTGTAATTTGCAGGTGGAAAGCTGCTTCAAATATTCTAGCAAGGAATTAAACCCCTCCGTCTTCGATAATTTTAAGGAAATATCTGCAAATGAACTTCGAGTCTGTAACAAATATAGGAGAAATATTCGACTCCTATGAAATTCAAATTCTCCGTCCCGTAACTTGACCTATATATTCTTGCTCATGTCCATATATGTTATGGGTGGATGTTGTGTATCTCATATCAGTCATCCATCCAGACGGGATAGTAGTTAATGACACTAATTGAAGTACCATCGGGCCCGGGTTCGAATTCGGAATAAGACAGGAATGTTTGTAAGCGTATAGTGTCAGCGGCAAGGAGGCTATCAAAACACACGATGGCCAAAATCCTCTCGAGAGGCTGGTGGTAGGGAAAGAGGGATGGAAAGCATATTCGGATCATCCTCTGGGTTGTTTGTTCTCCAACGGATATCCATCATAGGCGGAAGCAGTTAGCAAGGCCCGACGAAACCTAATTTGCTTAGATGGAGTCACATGTGTCCTCTACCTGTATTTTCTGTATACTAAGTGACCATTGACATTTGATTTGAAACATGATTATTTGCTTTAACGGTATCGATTTCATCCTTTAAGGAAATGAGACATTGGAAATCTTGAGCTCCTTTTTTATTAGAGCTTTTACCCGGTTATTCAGCATATGTTGGTTCAGTATGATTTCAAAGGTTAGGATCCTTGTAATTATTCTCAAGGATTATGAATTTTTAGATGAGTTGTCGTTTGAAGAGGTGGGATATTTCTGGGCCTTTTGTGCCCACAAGACTCGATCCATTCTTTTCCTGATCGTAACACTGGCTTACTAGATACCCACAAATTACGAAATGATTAACTTTTTGCAGAGGTGGGACATCGGTATTATGAAGAAGAACATTTGAGAGAAAACGATCTTTTTGCTCGTCTACAGAACCTTTCGTGTTTCTTTAATACGTTTGAAATTTGCGAAACCTAGCATTAAATGTAATACATACATGATAAAATGCAAATTAACCCAAAAACATCAGTTACAAGCAATGAAATAGGGAACGAAATACAATTCAACAACTATTAGCATCAAGTGAAGTGGATTTTCTTCCGAAATCGGCTCTGAAAGTTATCTCTTTTTTCTGTTTTGTTCGAAATATAAGTCTGGGGGCTACAAAATAACTGTAACTGAGAAAATAAAACAGAAACGTGGAGTGATCTCAGTAGTCTACTGGATCGAAGCACCCCAATTTGTAAGTTCTAAATGTTTCATTTACTTTAGTTATCGCAATCTCTAAATTTTTACATATTTTTCCACATTTTTAGCATATGAGTAAGTACACTGCACACATAAAGAGACATAATATTTAGAGACAAGGTGATATGACATATTGTTTATCGCACATTGAAGAATATTAATAGTAACTTGTTCAATGCACATTAGAAAATATTAATAGCACATTGCTCACAATGCATTAGGAAATATTAATGATTAGGTTTCATTGAACTTCGCTTTTTTTCTCTCTATCTATTTCAAAGCCCGTTAATTTTTTTTTTTTTTTGGATTTAAATATGTGTTTTGTATACGTTATGTTTTATATCGTTTTATATCTGCGTTTTATATCTGGCCCCCTACATTTTATATCTGACTTTCCAGTTTCTTATTGAATAAAATGATGTTATTTTCTTTAAAAAAATTGCTCTTTTAGATACGTTCTTTTCTTCACGATTATGTTTTAATTTTCCTTAAGGGGGCAAAAATAGTTGCGAAATAAGGTACCTGTCTTTTTTCATTCTGGCTGTCGAAGCAATAAGCAGTAGGAATTGCAGAACAAACACATGCCTAAGGAATATGTTGATATGGATGTGCGTTCAACAGTGAAAATACGCCAAATACTCTTGTTCTATAGTTTCAAGCGATTATACCTATCGCATTGCCTATATTATGCAATGTCATAAATAGTATACTTCACATTTTGTTTCATTTATAGTCTTGTAGAGACATTAGGTTATTTCGAAGCAGGAAAGATGAAAAATGAGCAACGCTTTCGCCGGGACTCGAACCACGGGCCTCTCAAATACACGACGAGCGTGCTGACCAGTACACTACGAAGGCATGCTAGGAAGGCGGGAGAAATACCTTATAGTCTTAGCTAACCTGAAAGCTTCATGACTTTTAATTTCGTTGTTACTAAAATTTGTATACCTGCTCTTTCTGCAGAAGTAACGCCCATCAGCACTCAAGCGATAAAAACCGCTGAACACTTATAATTTGACCCATATTTAAATCCTAATGAACGGCCTATCTATATTAGAGTTTTCGCGACATTTCCCACAGGTAACATTAATGCGATCAGTTTACATAGGTTTCTTCTTATTCAAATAGTCTTTGCGTGCTTTGATGTAATGTAAATGATACAGTTCAATTCAATCTGCAGTAGCAATAAAACATTCGTTATGTGGTTTTAAATAAAAAAGATAATATATGAGCAAGTGAAAAGATGTTGATCAATGTGAAGCATTATGCATAAGATTTCTTTAAAGTTTCAAACATGCATAGTGACACATCATTCAATTTCTTCATAACATATACTATAATCTTTGGAAAAATATTTTAACACGTACCATGGCCTTGTTCTCCTTTCCTTTGTAGTGTCGGAGGTAGAAGGAATTAAGTGCAAGTTCTAGTTTTGCAGGAAAATATGACAAACATTCTTCCCAGCGGGGAGTTTCATCTGCATCTGGTAAACTGAGCCTTCTGTGTTCCAAAGAAAGAGCCCTCCAGTCTTTCGATAACAGAGGCAAAGATTTCAAAACGACCCTCCACATCATATAATTGGCGACCACCCTTAAAAGAGAAGTATCAGCCATTAGGATTGTCGAAGGTATCATATAATAATTTTACTTTTTTCTTTTAATTGTCATACAAGGATCAGCATAATGATTTTTTGTGGTTTTTCATATAACCATGAATGATGATTTTCTTATAATGGTGTTATGGGGCTAGTAGGATTTGTGCTATCTTTTTGAACTTTTAAAGGAAAAGAATTCACTATCCTTAGTGCTCTTCTCTATTTCAGTTCATCTGTCATCTGTTCAACATATCAGTTTTCACGCCCTGCCGCATCTGGTATAAATTTCCGTCACATCAATGTTGAAACTTTAATCTATATAATTTATTTTACACGCAAATAATGACCCAAAATCAGCTCAATTTTCAATGCGTCAAGATAATTGAATTAAGTACGTTTATAATTATTTATGCATAAACTCAAACTTTTTATTATACGCACTTTGCGAAATTAAAAAAAATCTTTTGAACATGAATGTTAGACCTATGGTTAATTTTTTTTTTAAATCTTTGGACACATTTGCAAATTTTGTCACCATATACAGAAAATGTTAAGAAAGGGAATAACGGAACATTTCCAACCCTTGAAAATTTCTGGATGACAAACCCTTGATAACGATATTGGTTTTTCAATAGTTTTGAATGAAGACTAAAAACGGAAAAAGAAAAGACAGAAAAAAGAAAGAAAAGAAGCAAAAAGAGCCAACAGAATGATCGTATTCATTATGAAATCATTAGATATCCAAATGGGCATGTATAAGATTTTGATCTAATATGGGTAGAATTAAACGTATCGCATAATCTCGCCATGTGTTTAATTCGGCCTTTGCAATATGTAGGTAAAAAGTTATAATGGAATTGAAAAATTTTGTAGTCATTGCAAACCCTATGAGCGAATTAATTACCAAATATGAAAATATTTAAAATAATTCCCATTATTAAGGATCCTAATAAAAACTAGAAAACACCTAAAAAAGCGCTTGATGAAGTATAGTCACAGCAACGTAATTACAAGAAATTTTACCAATCTGTAGATAATGCTGAAGCAATGTCCGATCAAGCAAGAATGCGAATCCTTATTTAAAAAATCTGATGTGTACATCGCATGATTTCCATGTACGGAAAATTAAATTATACGCATTTTTCCTGCATTTCATTTAAACTTATTTTCTTGAATTTCATTAGAGATAGATTTTTCATTCAGTTAAACTCACTTTACGACAAGGAAAAAATATACAAAACCCAAAATATCTATATTAAAAATTGAAAGCTATAGAAAAACATAAAACCCAGAAAATAAAACACCAGACACATTAAAAACAAGTAAAATTAAAAGTTTTTCTAAGCTACGGCAATTCGGCCAAAGGGCCCATATTTTTTTTAGGTGCACAAAATTGAAAGGTTACTTTTGGTCTCAATCGGCAAAAAGACACTGAAGGCAGAAACTGACTGAATTTCTTGTGGATGTATGCTGAAATCAACAATGACATAATTATAACTTAAATGATAATTCCAGAATGTATTGAGCATAATTTAATTCGCTATAATAAAAGAAGACGTTACGTTGTTGACGCGAAGCTTAGTTTCTCTAGATTGGCAGCAAATCCACTATTCCCCTAAGTTTCAAATGTAAACAAAGATGGCTGCTATGGTAAAAAAATTAAGCTTAGCGGCACTTAAACAAATTTAAATTATTCATAATTCTACAACTATAATATGCAGGTTAATTATCGGTATAAAAACCTTAACCGGAAGGTAAGAACTACATAATTCAAACATTTTTAAAGCAAAAAATGCACTATTTACAAACATATAAGAATAAAGAACTGACCTCACTGAAGCCGATAACAGAGTGGATATATTTATATCGATATCCTATCTTAAGGTTAGCGCCTCCTTACTTTTTAAATCTTGCTAGTTTTTACCTCAAATGAAATCATTAAATGTCATTCCACGAGATGACAAACTTGAAAATTTAAACCGCCATGCCTGCTAAGGCAAACCCAAAAAAGCAATTTCTTATGAAAACATTTAACTGTATTACATGATTACCGCGGCACTGACATATAAATATATAGACAGACTAAAAACAATCTTACTTTCGAATCATACCATAGAGCTCAAATTAAAATTCAACGCACAAATAGCATTAAATAAGTACA